GAGTCTCATTCTGTTGCCCAGGCTGGAGTGCAGTGGGTCAGTCTCAGCTCACTGTAACATCTGCCTCCCAGCTTCAAGCAATTCTCATGCCTCCGTCTCCTGAACAGTTGGGATTACAGGCACCCACCACGATATCCAGCTAATTTTTGTGTTTTTATTAGAGATGGAGTTTTCCCATGTTGACCAGTTTGCTCTTGAACTCCTAACCTCAGGTGATCTGCCCACCTTGGCCTCCCAAAGTGCTGGGATTACAGGCGTGAGCCAACTCACCCGACCGATCAATTGATTTTCAACAAGGGTTACAGTACTATTCAGTAAGGAAAGAACAGCCTCCTCAACAGATGATGTTGAAAACTGGATATGTATAAGCAAAAAGGTGAAGATGGACCCTACCTCATACAATATGCAAAAATTAACTAAAAATGAATCAAAGACCTAAATATAAGAGATAAAACTCTTAGAACAAAATATAAGGGTAAATTTTCATGATTCTTAGCTACAACATCAAAAGCATAAGCAACAAAAGACAAAAATAGATATATTGGTTTTTATTAAAATTAAAACCCCTTATACATCAAAGTACAATATCAAGAAAGTGAAAAGACAGCCATAGGATGGGAGAAATAAAAGCAAATTATATACAGTATTTGACAAGAGTCTTGTATCTAGAATATATTTAAAAACCCTTACAACTCAGCACAAAAATAAAAATTAAAACCTGAGCAGCGGACTTGAATAGACATTTCTCCAAAGTATATACACAAGTAGCCAACAAGCACATGAAAAACTGCTCGACATCATTAGTCATTAAAGGAAAATGCAAAACCATAATGAGATACCACTTCACACCCAATAGATAGGTTACAATTTTTTTTTTAATGGAAAATAAATGTTGGCAAATATGTGGAGAAACTGAAACCCTTGTACATTTCTTTTGGGAATGTGAAGTGATTCAGTCATAGTGGAAAATAATTTGGTGGTTCCTCAAAAATTAAACGTAAAGTTACCATATGACCCAGCAGTTCCACTCTTAGGTCTATACACAAGAGGATTGAAAACAAGTGTTCAGAAAATAACTTGTACACGAACATTCATAAAAGCACCTTTCAAAATAGCCCAAAGGTGGAAATGATACAAATATTCAACAATCGATGAAGTGCGACAATATGAGGTATATGAGTGTGGTGTAAACAAAATGTGCTATCTTCGTACAATGTAATAGTATTCACACATAAAAATGAATAAAGTACTGATATATGCCACAATAGTGATAAATCTTGAAAACAGGCTAAATGAAAAAAGCCAGACACAAAACGCAATATCGTGTATGACCCCATTCATCTGAAATATCCAGAATGGGCAAATTCATACAGGCAGAAAGCAGATCAATGGTTGCCAGGGGCTACAGGGCAGGAAGAAATGGGGAATGACTGCTTAATGGATACAGGGTTTCCTTTTGGGGTGATGAAATGTTCTGGAACTACAGTCGATGGTTGCACAGCTTGTGAATGTATCAAAGGTCAGTGAATTATAAATTTTAAAGTAGTTAAAAATCATAAATTTTACACCACGTGTTCTTTAACCACACCTTAAAAAAGGTAAATAATGCAAGCCAGGCACGGTGGCTCACGCCTGCAGTCCCAGCACTTTGGAAGGCCGAGACGGGTGGATGACATGAGGTTGAGAGTTTGAGACCAGCCTGACCAACATGAGGAAACCAGATCTCTACTAAAAAATATAGAAATTAGCTGGGCATGGTGACGCAAGCCTGTAATCCCAGCTACTTGGGAGGCTGAGGCAGGAGAATCGCTTGAACCTGGGAGGCAGAGGTTGCGGTGAGCAGAGATCACGCCACTGCACTCCAGCCTGGACAGCAGGAGCAAAACTGTCTCAAAAAAAAAAAAAAAAAAAGTAAAGAGTGCAAGTTGGGTAGCAAGATGGCCTAGATTCAATCCCAGCTTTCCACTTCCTGGCTAGATTACGTAGGGCAAGTTACTTAACTTTACT